TCAAAAGAGAAGAAGAAATTAAAGTTAAGAAGTCTATTATTATTCATCGAAAAATGCTTCTTCAGATTGGCACTGATTTTATTCTCCATTTCCGTTTATCCCCCAAAATATACCGTTTTCGGTCTAGCTAAAATTGTAAAAACTACCATTAAAAATCCACTGGTGGCGCTAGCCTCGAAATACCACCGATAAAAATCTTGTGCGGACAGAAAAATATTAACTGCGAAAACAAATGCTACACTAAAATACTCCAGTTATTGAAGATAAAGTGCGAGTAACAAAATATTTATTTTTTTTCACCCCGCACCTTGTATATACATGTGAAAATTCATGGCACGTATGGAAGAATAAAGCAATAAGCAAATAAAATTGTCTGTATAGTCACAATGGGAGAATAGAAGAGAGAGAGAGAGAAAGAGGGGATGGGAGGGGAGAAAAGAGACATGAGATGATAAAGGGAAATTCCACGGTTTCATCTTGGTCGGTCATAAAAGCAAAGCAACGCTTTGCGAAAGTTTTATATTTTCATTTTACGATCTAAGGGTGGGGACAAGGGGGGGAATATTCCCTCTCTATACGTTATACTAACATTTTTACAGTGCGCGGCATTACCGTCCGCTACCACTCTTGTAAAGTTACATCCGCTGTAACGTGCGCACGGTATATATATAATATACGCATTATCCGCGGGGGAGGACATTTTGACGACAAGCTCTCGCGAACGACCATGCTGGCACTAATTGCACCGGGACATAATTGCTTGATAAACATCCTGTTAATCAGGCTTTTATGTGCGGCTTTACATTGTCTATATATGCGCACATGAACACGCGAATACCGCGCGCGGTGTGGAACGATTTTCTCTGCTGCGTTTTATCTGCATCCGCCGGCTTTTCTGTAATTCGCATCAGTCACTGAATATTAAAATTCAATGTTTAAAGTGCGAAATTAAATAAAATCCACTGTATTCTCATTAATGAATAATTAACTTTTAAATTTCCCGCACTTTTTTTTGGCGAGAAAATATAACCAATCATCAGTTTTCCTTCACTAAACTTTAACAGTTATATGTGACCGCGTGTGAGAAAAGGGACCCTTTTCTCACACGCGGTATATGTCTTTCATTTTAAGAACCTTAAAGTGTAAAAAGCGTCTAAATCTAAAACTTTATTTTTTTGGTCATTCCCTTTTCTCAGACGTGCGGTCACATATAAAAACACTTGGTATATTTCAGGTTATAGAATCATATTCTTGCATGAATTTCAATTTTCTATAAATCCCAGGAGAAAAAGCGCAAAACATGAAGAAAAAAAAGAGACTTTTGGAACGTAAAAGGAATAGTAAGAATTGATGTGAGGTGAGGTGTACAAGGGGGGTTGTGATAGGAGTCTCTCAAGTTACTTTTCCAGGGTCGGTTAAAAAATTCTCGAAAGGAAAAAGTTCTGCCTAACGTCTTGAAAGTGTCTCAAAAAGAAGAAACTCCGTCAGCGGGATTCCTCTAAGTGTATCACATAGTAAATTTAGTTTTCCAACCTCCACGTAAGCCCCCAAACGTTCCTCTCTCTTTTTCTTTAGTTCCTCTTGGTAAATTCCACGTAGTTCCTGTGGGATATCGTTGGGGCGGCCATGTTTCAAGATGGCGGCTTCTCTGTTTCTCTCTCTTTCTCTCTCAATGAGCCAGACCGTTCAAGCGAATCTGGCCGATCAAACGGGGGCTAAGAGCCACGCTTTTGGCCGGGTTAACTCAATCCGGGAGCTTTCTCCTCTAGGCAACTTCCTCTATCGTACCCCTTCCACTCTTTCGCCTCCCCCTCCTCCTGCTCCACCCTCTTCGTCCCACACACCGCCCCCGACCCGGCGGTTCCAATCGATGAGCTTGCGACAACGGGCCTTTAGATATATACTTTTATGGACAGAAAGGATAAAATTGAAATCTCATGGGGGGAAAACATCACCTTCGCTTATTTTTAAAGCGACACTTTTTCTTTACATGTATATTTGAAAAGTTGATTGCGTGATGCATCCTAAATCGATTTATCAAAGTGATGAAAAAAGAAATATACTTATTAGCATTTAAACAGGTGTTTACTTTCTGGTTGTTTGCCATGGCTAACAATCTGGAAATAATAATTTAAACACTGTAAACAAATATGTAACCGATTCTCAACAATAACAGCCAAATAATACAGCAAGCAGTAAATTTATATTTTTTATTATTAAACATTGTCTAGATTGCATCCGGTACAATAAGATTGTACGGAATCTTAGATTTAGTGGGTAACATAACCATATTTTTATAACATCTTTGATGGTACTTAGTAACATAATGATGGTACCGGCTAACATCTACTTTTTAATTCATCAAAATCTAGCTATTATTACCATCCATTTCTCTCAGTGTTTAAACTGTTATTACTCTTCATTACATAAAGAATGAATAACAAAACAAATAGGTTAATGGATTAACCATCAAATATAACCTCAAAATAACCTACAGCTGAAGTATCTATATATAAATTCTGGTGTAAATCTTATTTAATTTTGGAAATCCATAGCAACAAAATACTTAAATTTAATTAGTCCTTTTTAATAAGACTAAACAAATTTTTAACCTATTGAATCAATTAAATAGCTTTCGTAGGTATATACATAAATTTTACAAAATTAATAAAATGGCGGATTCAATATGGCGACCAGAATTTTAAAAGCTTATAATTTTTTTCAAACTCAACATACAGCAGGGTTTTTTTGGGGGGTAATATTTTTAAATTTTCTTGAGAATTTGCAATTTAGCAGCTTATGACATCATGAACATAAAGTATATTAGGAAATGGCAAAATAAAAAAGAAATAGACAGATTTTTTGTTAATTAAGATTTAAACCTTAAAGAATACAGTAGTGTGATAGAAATTGGAAAGTTGAAACATTCAAAAATTATTAAAAAATAAATAATTAAATAAAATTTAGACAATTTTATTTTTGAGAAATTCAAAACAGCAAATCCAATTTTTTTTAAACTTCAGCCTTAATTAACAAGAAATCTGTGTAATTTTTTAATTTTGACATTAAAAAATCAATTATAATACAATAAAAATCTGATTCTAGTTACGTCAAATTCGTAATCAATGATCTTAAAAGCAATTCTGATTTATTTTTAATTTTTCCGTCCACCTTATTGAATGCGCCATTTTAAATTTTGAAAGTCGACATCAGATTTGAAATCAGTGATCCAAAAAACCCTTACTGTATATATATGGTGAGTTTGACAAAAATTGTAAATAACTTTTCAAATTCTTGTCGCCATATTGGATTCGCCTTTTTTAATTTTTGTAAAATAAGACGATATTTTGTAAAAGCTTTTTATCTAATTTAATGTTGGAGGCTTCGTAGAATTTTGAAAATTAATTTGTATTGAGTTTTTAAGGAAATATACCAGAAATAATTCAAAAGAATTTCTATCAATATAATAAGAAAGGAATTTTTAAAGAAAAAACTATAGAAATCTTAGTGACTTAAAATGCTTAAATCTAGTAATCCTACACTGTAAAAAATATTTGGGGTAATTTTACCAAAAATGTTTTGGAAGTAATTTACACCAAGAATTTGTGGATAAAGTTTTAGGTTAAAAATGCACAAGATTTTTAGTGATTTTACCCAAACATTTTGGAAGAAATACCTCAAATTTCTTGGGTAAAAATACAAACTTATTTTGGCATCTTTTATAAAGGTTTTGGAAAAAATACCCAAGAATTTTTAGGTAAAATTACACAAGTTTTTGTACTTTTGGCCAAAGTTATATATGTGTAAAAAAATTGATAAAAATATCAATTTCATCCGCAATTTAAAAAAAATTCGTTAATAAAATTTTAAACAATAATTGCACATTATAGAGATTCTTTTTATTTCATAAGATATATGTTTTAGTACAAAACTATTTTACAAAATATTTTTTCACAAACAATAATAAACAGTTATGAAAAACAATTTATTAATCAATTAATTATAAAATTCACCATGTTCACTATTTATAAAATATAACATCACACATATATTTACTTTGAATTAAAGGCCGTACATTTTTATTAAGAACACTGTAAAAACGAAAAAACTTTCACGTGCGGATTTATCTTATCTTGCAAATGCTGCAGAGCAACTGACATTAAAAGGACCTTTTGACAAAAATTTCTAAGAAATTATCGAAAAATTTCCAAATATTTTCTTTATTTTCTTATTCGAAAAATTTCACAAACTTTCCGTCTAAATAAAACTATAATAAAAAAACCGGTATTTGAAAAGTCATAAAATAGTAAGTGTAGATGCTTAACATCTGATGATCATTCTAAAAGAAGAAGAAATTTAAGAAAAAATTGAAAAGTATTTATCAAAAGAACCGGAAGGAAGGCAAAACGAGTTGCAGTGCGTATATATATATATGTATGTATTTAAAGACAGGCGTTTCACACTAACACAAGTGCAATACGGGTGTAATCGGTCTCCTCGGGAATTCCCACCCCGCGAAATATAGCTTTTGCGCGGGGATAATTTGCGGTGTCTCATAGCGACTGCGTGGTCCAATCATGCAACAGCCAATCGCGTCTCGGGTGCGCGAAACCGCTGCGAGAACAAAAGGATCACACACAGCGGCAAATGTGTCGACAACTGATCGTCATATATAAACCACCACATCGATTCGAAGTCAAAACAATAGGAACTCAACCCCATATTTCTCTTTCTTTTGTTCTATATATACAGATTCTATCTTCTTCCTTATTATACATTTCTATTCTCAGGAAAGTTGGTCGCAAATTTAAGAGTATGTTTTGCTAAAGATTCTCGTATAAGTTCTGAAGTTGAGTATATATACTCAGCTTCAGAACTTTATTCGCGACATTAATATAATGACGATTAGAATTCATAACCTACATATGAAGATATTTTTGCGATTATTCAAATTGCGGAGATGACGATAAGTAATTGTAAATTCTTTTTGTGATTTTCAGGTGGTAAAGAGGACGATCCAAAGGGACCATCTTCAAATTCGTTGAGTTCGGCGCAAAGTAAGAAGCAAAGAAAAGCGCGAACAGCATTTACGGATCATCAACTGCAAACACTGGAGAAGAGTTTTGAGAGACAGAAGTACCTTAGCGTTCAGGACAGAATGGAATTGGCGGCGAAATTACAACTCACGGATACACAAGTCAAGACGTGGTATCAAAACAGAAGGTAATTTTTTCCTCTTTTATATAAAATAATACATATTATATTGTATCTTATTATACATAAGATAATATCAAATTTCGGGTCCTATATAAGTAATTGCGACTAGGATCATTCATTTCATCCTAAGGATATACAACTGGAGTATATCCTCAATATCTTAATGCGTACCATCATAAAAAATTATTTAAAGTTGAATTAAATGGTTTATAATTATAAACCATTTAATTCAACTTTAAATAATTTTTCAAATTTTTAAATCTTTAAACAATTCTTAACACTTGGAAAAATACATATATGTAATAACATAAAGAGTAGGTAGGTTTTAATAGATAAGTGCGAAGCCTAATAAGCATTTTTCTGTCATGTACAATATTTTGTTATAGAAAAGAAGAAAAGACTAATTCCTTTTATGCACTTTATCTGCGACATAAATTGCTAACCCAAAAATCAGATACAGAATAGAGTGTGTTGCAGAAATAATCAAGATACAAGAAATTGAAGCTTTAAACCAATTTGTGAAGACACTTCCTGTGTATTTTAGCTGTCGTAGGTCGCGAGAGAAAAGATATAAATCCGTCAGAGTGGCGCCCCTGAAGGTGTGGCCCCTGGCGCCCACAATGAAAATGCGCCCAGTCACCCAAAAAAGAAAAAAAAGTTTTTAAGGTAACAAAACTTAAGCGAGCACTTAAGGGATTCTGTCAGTTAAAGCGTCACTAATTTTCTCTGGTTTTGCACCAGGTCTTCGCATTTAGGTGCATATTCCTGAAAGTCACCTCGCGCGCCTTGCCAACCCTAATTAATCAACATCCCGCCGCCGTAGAAACAAAAAACAACTTTTCGTTGATAAAGTTTCTTTGTTATTCTTCGTGATATTTTTGTTACCGATTTAACGGATGGTCACGGATTCCCATCATCATCATCATCATAGGTTTTCGATTAATGAAAAAAAATTTCAGTCATTTAAAAACACAGTAGATAATGAAAAATACCAGAACATTATCGATTGTTCGCTCAAATGAGAAATAATTCGTTTAATTTATATCCTTGAAAAAAAGGGTAACTATATATTATTGTGAAAAAAAAGTATCTCTGTTATAGTAATAATGGAAACAATTGATAATTTTTTATTCCCGTATACATTTATTTTATCCCTTTCTGTATATTATTAACGAGCACTTGTTATATTGGAACCGAAAATAAAAAATTGCTTTGTCATGAACTACGCGCGGCTAATTGACACAAATCACCTAGACAATGTATTGCTTCGTTTTAATAAATCCTGAACATTTATATCACGAACTCTATAGATAAATATCATTTTGTGAAATAAAAAAAAAGTTTCTCATAGACAATTATGAATAAGAATATATTTTAGAAAAAGGATATAATTATACCGAAAATGGTTGATTCATATACCTATAGTATAAACATAATTAGTCCTTTTTTTTATTGATGTCTGATTTTTTTTTCCTTCGGCTTCCTTTATCTTTGATATTTTACAGAGTCATGTTAAGGCGCCTAATATATGATCTGTTTCTTTATCCCCCTTCTTGATATTTCCTAATTAGCTCAGAATTGTTTAAACTCAAAAGTGTTTAACAAAGCATCGAAAAAAATTTAGTGTTCACCAACCGAAGAAAATTATGATTTGACGCCTCGGCTAGCATTCGTTGTTTTATCCCGAGAGTCTTTTCTTCATGGCTGATTATTATACATACACAAACGATCTTCTCCTTCAAGTCTATAGGGAAAAATGGTCGAAATCAAATTATCAATTCGCACTCGGAAAAATATTATCAAATTTATTTCATTTGCAATTTCGATGCAATTCTGATTCCAAAGGATCAGAAATTTCATAACAAATTCTATCAGTTAAATCCGATGGAATCTCTAAGGATCGCTTTTAAACGGATTTCCAAGGTGTAAATACAAAAATTTTCGATTTTTGCAAATATCGAAAGAACTTTTATTCTTCTTCCGATACTGAAAGATGTGATTTCTTTCTATCAGAATTAATTTTGATGCGTATATTATAGAATCTGCGATTATAAGAACTGCGCGATCAAAATGGGAGCATGAAAGATTAGATTGCAAAGTGAAAAAAAGGCGAGTGTGGCTTCTTCTCGATTGGTATTTAGTATTGAAAATCAGTTGAGCGGACAATCTAGGCGTTTAACCATGTAAACAACATGGCTTTGTTGATCGCCGCAATTTCCATTTAGAAATTCGTCACGGATGGTACAAAAGAACGTGCCGCTAATATATATTGTACACATATAGCAGACTACGTGATTGCAAGGCTGAACCTTTTACTACAAATACAAAGTCATACAAGAAGATCAAAGTCGTTCTGGATCACTCTCTTCGCTGAAAGTACGAAATAAGAATGACGCATCTTTGCGCCATTATACATCTGCTTCCGGACTCCGCCTCTTATCAGACTCACGCTTCAAGATGCGGTAAAATAATCTAGTTTCAAAAAAACAAATCTAGTTATAGATTTTAATTTACTTATTCCATTATAAATTTTAACAACTGTTTTGTGAGTCGGAGATTTTTTTATGTCTCATTGCCAACTGTTTCGTTTTTAAATATCTTAATAATCATTCACTGGAAATATAAACTCAACCGCTGTTGATGAAACGAAAACATATTCAGCTCATATTTAATTTTTGAATTTTAACATCAGATTTGGATTCAGCGACCCCAAAAACCAATGACAAACGAATGTTATAAAAATTTGTTCACTTTTTCGACTTTCGGCCATGTTTTCGTCAATCTGGACCTCTGTGCGCTACTGTAAATATTTTAAGGTTCGCCGATTGACGCATTTATTTATTGACCTGAACCACAAGATTACTATTTCTTTTTGACTGTGCTCTAATTTTTCAAATTATGTTAGATCTTGAACCTCAACTAATAACCTGAATTTCAAGGTTATACGTTTTGCTCTTGAGTTGCAACCTAAAAACTTATTTCTTCCAAACTATATTATATATAAATTTTATTATTCTACACTGCAGTATGTTGCGTTTATTTACGTTGTTTTAATTCTTGAATTAAAGAAGGTGGCAATACTTTTTCTTAAAAAGAGGGATATTATATGTATATATATGTGTATAAAATATAATTTATTAAATTGCGCTATAATAAATTCAGGGAGCGTGTAAGTTATAAATTCGAGAAATCAAGATTAACAACAAAGTAAATGTTCCATAAGTTAAATATAAAGAGTAATTAAGATTAGAGTTTCCACAAGAGTGCATAAAAGTACTTCCGTTTAATTTTGATATCTCCATCAAGCGCAATATGTATGGTGAGAAAAAATAATTAATGGGAGATTATGCACCTTTTTTTAACTTGTTTCGTCCTTCCATTTATAATTATTTTATCTGCTCATGTCAATATACCAACATTAAAAACTCTGCGTGCAATTTTCCAAGATTGCAATAAGCCATAAGTATTAACAAAGCAGCATTTCATCATAAGTTAACGTGCGCAATTTTGCGTCAACCTTCCTTTGAAACCTATGGCGAAAACGGAAAAATTAATAATTAAGCATTACAATAACCTTACATGACAAAGTTTGAAAATAAGTTTTGTTTCAATGCTGTATAAATTACGTGTCAAGTTTAGCTATACTTCGTAGTTTAGTGAGTGATTTTTTTATAAGAAACTAATTTTCTTATTTCTATCACCATAAGAATTTCGCATGCTAAAAATCTTCCTAGTTTTATTAGCAAGAAAAAAATGAAAGTCGAATTGGTCGTAAGTGTGCAACATTACTCAAAGTATTATCTTACATCTGCCTACTCATTCTGTACCATTTCCTCGTTAACGACGTTATACCCTTTACGTGATTATCCCCCGAGAGTGCCTTTGGTAAAAGTCGCGTAATCCGCGGCGTATTTTTTTATTATGAATAAATACGTACTTGCGTGAGGCACTTATCACAAAACGCAAATGTAATCAATCATTTGTGTAAAGACATATACATCGGCAAAGAGCGAAGAGTTTAGCCATTCGTTGATGATGGTAATTACATCTTATTCTGCCGCTTCTGTTCCTCTTTTTTTGCCTTTCGTGATTATAAATAATCGTGGGCGAGCAACAACCATAACGAATTGATTCCCTTTTTTTCGAAAAAAAACATTTGAACATTTTTCCCAAACAGATTATTTTTGCAAAAAAAAAAAAAGAAAATTTCATTGCATGTATTGAATAGTTATTGCATTCGCCGGAAGAGGAAAAAAAAGAATTTGACATTCGTCATTGAGATCGTTAGGAGAAAATGTTTTGGGAAGAATATTATGATATTATTAACCGTGAGAATGCTCATTCCGGCTTTTCTAAGCGGAAGAAGGTGCTTCTTCCCACGCTGTTGCACATCTAACTGCATTATAACTGTCTCAAGTCCCCAAGTATATAAAATTCTTCCTGATATACGCAATTGCTTATAAAAAAAGAAGGAATCAGTAATGGTCACCGCCCCAATGTTCCAAATGCAAAAGTGGCAACAGTCACGTCAAGTGTAATTTTTACGGTTTTTTTCCTGAAGAGGTCGCACGAATCTCTCCTAATAGAAAGAAAAAAAGAACGAGGCTAATTGGCAAGATATGATAACGAGTGTGAGTACACATGCCACAACAATTACCTTATCCCTACTAGGAGACATTTTGATAATACTTGTCCATTGCTACTAATAGATAATGATGCTTGTTTTTATTATTAAAACATTCAAAACCTAATTTTTGAATTCCACAACAATTTTACAATAAAATATTGGAAGTGATGAGATTTGATAAGTTCGTTATTTTAAATTTTCATTGTGGTGTGTAACATGTGATGTCCCTTGTGCAGTGAGGCAAATAATAACACAAAAATAAGTCTCTCCCTTTTGGTTCTTATTGTTATTATACAACCGACATACATTAAGTGTCACACGAACTCTCATAACCGCAGAGTCAGACCTACCACCATTATAAATACATTAAGTTCCCCTA